TAGGATTTTAAAAATTAAAGTTAAAGATTAAATGTCTAAAAATTAATTTAAATAATTTTAATTAATTTTATTTATAGTACATTTGATGAAAATGTTCCTGTACTTCAATATGCTGATTTACCAAATGTGTTTTTCAGTTTTATTCACTCAGTAAACCATGCATGAAAATTAATGTAAAATACATGCACTTTCCTTAGGGTAGTATGTATATTCTTACCTCCTAGCTGCTGAACATTTGACATGGCAATTAGAAGATAGTTTGGGTCACTGGGCTGAGCAGGTGTGGAAGGGTCTGCGTAGTTAAGTAAAACAAACATTTCTGATCGTCTTATCTCTGGGCTTTCTGATCTTAATAAATGTCACCAGGATAACCCAAAGCAACTCTCCTAACGACTCGATGGGGAATTAAACTCAGAAGCGCTTTGCAATTTCTAATCTGCTTAGTTCTGGAAGGAGAATGGCTCTTTACAGAGAAGTGGCTACAATTATGTGGAGATTTGGGTACTGAGTTTAAATGTGGAAAAAAAAATAAAGGCAAACAAACCCTATCTTCCAAAGCTAAATGTAAGAAAATATGGGTTTTTAAAACATACTAAAAACATCAAAGTAAGAAAATATTTGTATTATCGTCATCATATTAACATAAATTTTAGAGAAATATTAATATGTAATTATCTATATACTTAGTGATGACTTGCATAAAATTGCTTACCTAGTTTTATTTTGTGCCACGTTTTCTAAAACTTCCTAACACATAGGCAAATTGTTTTATTTTCTTAAATCTCAAATAGTACTGAGAAAAATTATGCTATTCTTCCTTGGCAAACTCTTGAAAATCATACCTTTGAAATTCATTCATGTACTTGATTTTATTTTTTTCAGTCCCAAGCCTTCTCTGCTGGCCACCATTCTAATATATCATTGCACTGAACAATAGTATAGATAAAAACAATGACACTTATCGTAAGCATACTGCATAATGACTTTTTACAGATGAATATACCTCATGCAGCCATGCTTGGGGTCAGAAAGCAAAAGTCGCCATCACCCCCAAACCCTAAAACATTCCATTTCCCCTAGTCATTATCAGTGCATAGCAACTACTACCTGACTTTATGAAGAAAAGATAGTTTTTGCTTATTTATACATGATTTAAATTGAACTATACTAAAGTGTCTGGCTTCCACAGCTCAACTTCTTTCTTTTGAACTATGGATATTCTTTCTGTTTTCCAATTATATATATATATATATATATATATATATATATATATATATGCAATGTATTGTGATCATATTCACCCCAATCACTCTCTCATAGCTCCTCCCACTCTTCTAACCCTCTTCCTCCCAAATAGTCCCTCTCCTATATGTGTGTGTGTGTTTGTGTGTGTATGTGAGAGAGAGAGAGAGAGAGAGAGACTGAGTTGCCACTTACTGGATCAAGGAAAACTTATCAATGACTATACCATTGAACAAAGTAACTTCCCCTTTCCTGGCAGCCATCAGCTACTTACAGCTGCTCCACAGGGGGTCTCATGAGCTCCTGTACCCCTCCACAATGGAATACTGAAGGGCCCCATCTTCTGTGGGTCTTATGCAGATAGCCACAGATACTGAGTGCTCATGATGGCCACAGCCATGCCTTGTTTAGAAGCCAGCATTTCAAAGCACTCTCCTCTGGCTTTCACAATCTTGCCACCATCTCTTTCCTGATGCTCCCTGGGCCTTGAAGGGGGCCATATAGGTGTCCCATTTAGTCCTGGGCATTCAATGGTAACCTGTTCCCATCACTTCATCATTACATTAATAAAGTTTCTTCCCCAGCAACCTGCACAGGAGCTTCCAGCACTATGGATTCTAGTGAACAGGAAGCTTGCAGCTCAGTTCACACTTGATTTCTCTGTGGCCTGCATCCAAAGTGTGTGATGTCTTCAACAACTCACCGTCTAGTTCTGTAGCGGAACTAAAAGTAACGCTGGCCATGGTTTTGTGCAATGAGAACAGTCCATTCTTGCTGCTGTGTACCTGTCTCATTGGGTGAGGACATCACAATTTCTCCCCATTCGCTGTTAGCTTTGTTCTCACCACTAAGGTTGGTTCTGACTCACCTCTTGGCAAATGTATTCCTATTTCTGTTAGATGCACTCCTAGGTGTGGGACACTTATGGCAAAATATAGGTAATATGCTCACCTTTAAGGAATGTAGCCAAAGCTGTACCACGGACTGGGCAGCATCTTCTGTTTTTATGTTCTTGGACTGTGTGAATTGCTTTGTGTGAGCACAATTTCATTTATATGAATGGCATTAGGGAAGTGGGGATCTGACTCCATGGTATAACACTTACCTAGCACATGGAAAGCTCTTGGTTTGATCCTTACTACCATAAAATTATCATAATTATGTTTCCATGGTTTAATGGTATATTTTTATTGTTTTCTACCAATCCTTATTTATACATTTAAGATCTATGCATACTGACATGTGAACAATGTCTGTTATTTCTAATTGTACATATCCATAGGATTATCCAAGTAATATTATGTATAACAATGAGGAAATTGTTTCATCCAACAATGAAGTATTATGAGCTATACTTAAGCCAATTTTTTTTTTTAAAAAGACAGGGTCTCACTGCACACCCCTGGATGGCCAGAAACTTGCTTTGTAGATCAGGCTGGCCTTGAACTCACAGATATCTGCCTGCCTCTGTTCTATGATTGAAGGTATGCCCCATCACACTTGACTTGGGGCCAATTAATTTAAGGATTATCTTATTTCATGAGAAAATATTTGTGGAAATTAGTATTTGGCAAATGGAAGATACATCATTTACAAGGTATGATACAGTTAAAAAAATACATACACTGAAAAGAAATATACCAAATACAAATGACTATTATTATGGTAGAAGAAATGAGACACTTTTAGGTTTTTCTCTTTATATTTTTCTATATTTTATACTGATAGCATAACCAGGAAAATATAAATAAAAAGAGAAAATAAGACCTGAAGCCAGGAACCATGTAGAAATTCTGCTTGCTAATTGGCTCTCTGGCTCACGCTCAGCTTGCTTTCTTCTCCAATTGAGACCCACCTGCTCAGGGATGGTGCCACCAATTATCAATCAAGATAATCTCTCACAGACATGTCGACAGGCCAGTCTGATCAAGGGAATTCTTCAAATGAAGTTCCTCTTTTCAGATGACTCTAGGCTTTGTCAAATTGACAAGCCAAACTAGCCAGAAGGCTGGAGAGAAGGCTCAGTTGGTTGAGTGAGCACTGTTCTTGTAGAGGACCGAGGTGTGGTTTCCAGCACCCACATCAGTGGACTCACAACCACCTGTATCTCCAGTGCAAGGGGACCCAACGCTATCTTCTGGACTCAGCAAGCACTACACTCATGGGCACAAAACCACTTTCACATGCACACATATACATATTTTCAGAAATAGAAACAAAATTGTTGCTCAAATTTCTAAAGATCTTATAATAAAAAAACCGAGAGCTAGATATTGGAGTAAGTGCTGAAAAGATCAGAGAGGCAAAGGAACAAGCCCCTGTCACGTATACCTTTAGAACTCCTCAGCCTGAAAAGCTTTCAGTTCCTGTCTCCTCATGCCTTATATACCTCTCTCTAAGAGCCATATCACTTCCTTCTTTGTGCTGGGATTAAAGGCATGTGTGCTTCCCAAGCAAAGGTATGAGATCTCAAGTGCTGGGATTAAAGGTGTGTGCCACCACTGCCTGGCTCTGTTTCTCTCCTAAACTGAATCAATCTCATGCAGTCTGGGGTGGCTTTGAACTCAAAGAGATCTAGACGGGTCTCTGCCTTCCGAGTGCTGGGATTAAAGGTGTGTGCCACTGCTGCCTGGCCTCTATGTTTAATCTAGTGGCTTGTTCTGTTCTCTGATCTTCAGGTAAATTTTATTAGGTTACACAATATATCACCACACAAAATCTTTAAAAAGTGTTAAAATGAAAAGGAATGCTTTTAGCCTTTTTTTCTTTTAAATTTTCAACACTATTCTAAAGAACCAACCTTATTATCAGTACCATTGTCATTTTCAACTTCTTGAAAATTATATTCCTCCTCATGTATTAAAACTCACACTGAATAAGGAGTTCTGAGTTTCAAAAGAGGATTTATTTTTACATCTCTCTTTAAATCTTTGACCAGTATTGCAACACACACACACACACACACACACACACACACACACACACACACACACACACACACACAGAGCTGATACTAGTGTCTTGGTCATTTGTTTCCCCTTATATTTTACACCATTGTCATGATGATTTATTCCTTTGTGTTTTTATTTGCATCCACTTAAAAATCTCATTTTCATGACGTCCTCTCTATGGAATCTTCATCTTTTACTTCACTGTCTTCTTCACTATAGAGGTATACTGGAAGTTCACACATCTTCAGAGAAGACACAAAATCTTTTTTGCATTTCTGAGTGCTATGGAAATTTTTCATCTGTGATTTTGTGCTAAGATGCTGTTTTTCTTCTAAAACTCAGTTATTAGTTAACTTATTATATTTAAATCATATGTATAGCATTTTATCATTTTAATTAAAATTTAATTGCATCGCTTTCCCTCTTCCCTTTACTTCCTCCAATCTCCCCACTTTCTCCATACATTACTTGTATGTATATGATTTCAGGGATGACCACTTGGTATTGGGTAACCAATTAGGTGCCTAATCCCTGGGGAGGACCATTTATCTGACTTTCCTCATTGTTGAGTGGTCTGTAGCTCTCCGTCTATGAGTGGAGCCCCATGAGATTTTCCCCTTCCATGTTAGCATGGCTACTGCACTTATACTTCCTCAGGTCTTTTTTGGGCAGCCATATTGTTGAGGTGTCATTGTGAGGGTTCCTTGTCATTTCCAGGAAACAATCTCACAGCAGCTTTCCTGGTCCTCTGCCCTTTGTTCTGCCCCACCCCCCTTCTGTGATGTTCAGTGAGCCTTCAGAGCAGGAGTTATGTTGTAGATATATCAGTTGGGGCTGGGCACCTCAAGATCCTTTGAGTTTTGTGTTTGAAGAGCATGGTGTCTCCAACCTCTGGGAGGTAACAATAGCTTGTACTGTTTTGGGAGTCTCTTTCTCTCTCTCTCTCTCTCTCTCTCTCTCTCTCTCTCTCTCTCTCTCTCTCTCTCTCTCTTTGTAAGATGATTCATGGCTCTTGTGGAGAGTATTGTCAGTCCAAACTGGAGAACTTCATTTGAACTATATGTGTTTATGTATACGCATAGATTTCTATGTGGTATATGTAATTTTGGTAAGTAAATAATAAAATGGCTCCTTATGGCTTTCCTAGACATCCTTAGTGTTATTTTACCCTCTTCTCTCCCTCTCCTTCTGTATTAACATCCCTTCTTCCATGCCAACTAAAGCCCTGCCCATTCCCCCTTTCAAATCACTTGTATCCTCACCCAAATGGAATCATTTTACTTCTCTAGTTTCTGTGGTTACCCTACTTTATATACTCATATTTAACTATTTGGAACTAGGAACCACAAATGAGAGAGAGAGCATGTGGTTTTTGTTTTTCTGGGTCTGAGTTACCTCACTCAGTATAACATTTTCTAATTCCACTCATTTGTCTGTAAAGTTCATGATTTCATTTTTTTTTGCAGATGAATAGTATTCCATAGTGTATAATACTGCAGTTTCATTACCCATCCATCAGCTAAAGGATATTTAGTATGTTTCTATATCCTAGGTATTATGAATAGAGCAACAATGAACATGGCTGGGCAAGCACCTGTGGAATAGTATGTCAAATATATCTGGGTCATATGATAAATTTATTTGTAGCTTTTTGAGAACTCTCCCTGGTGACTTCCAGAGTGGCTGAAAATGAATGTTTTTAACATAATTATTGTTACTAGATAGAAGTAGAATTCCGACAAATTTTGATTCTTATTGACCAACGATTTGGGCTTCTTGCCTTTTGTCTTCGACTATAAAAAGAAGTGAGTGAGTCCATCTGTCAAGTATAATATGAATCAAGCCTTTTAAAGTCAGAGAATGTCTCTTATATGACTTAGATTGGATAATCAAAAGCATGCAATTCCAAGGATGACCACACACGCTGAGGGACTTTGAGCCTTACGCAATAGAGAAAGCCCCTGTGTCCTTTCCAAAGCCCTGTCAGCCATCATATGCAGCTTCTACCTCACTCTAGCTTTAGAGGTGAAGTTACTCACTCTCTGGTTGCTGTTGATCACTAACAAGGCTTGGTGTAGAAAATCTATGTTTTGTAGCTTTGATTGAAGCTGTCTTTCACCTCCTCATGTTCATTTTTCAATCAACTGTCTTACATTTCAATCTCAATAAATAGAATCATAAACCAGACAATAGTTCATCAAGGGACAATATACAAGTAGGACTATATCATGACTTTCATGGATCTGTGCATTTCCTCTATATATGTTTCTTATTCCACATTAGAAAACATCTTAAAAATTTGAAAGAATCTTTAAATCCAAAATGATGGATAATAGAGAAATTGAATGAAAAAAAAAATGACTATTCTATTTCAATCTTCCCATAGAGCTAGCTGAGCAGAAAGCTCCTCTCATGAGCTGCCCTGGCAGTTGACTTAAGACACCCTAGAGGGCCACAGCCACTGTGTTCCAAAACCATCCAACTTGTGTATTTTTCTCTGTCACAGAAGCTTTCTGTTCTGCAGCTTGTCTCTCCAGGATCCTTTTCTCTGTCATCTAGCCATGTAAAGACTGAAGCGTCATAACAATAAAGGTCCCAATGTATTCATTAGAGGAAGTGCTATTCCCAGGGGGCTTCACCACTTTGTCCTTCTCTGGGGGATGGTCTGTATGTCAAATTGCTCTGATTGGTCAATAAATGAAACACTGATTGGCCAGTGGGCAGTCAGGAAGTATAGGTGGGACTAACAGAGAGGAGAATAGAGAGAACAGGAAGGTGGGGGGAGTCACTGCCAGCCACCACCATGACAAGCAGCATGTGAAGATGCTGGTAAGCCATGAGCCATGTGGCAAGGTATAGATTTATGGAAATGGATTAATTTAAGCTATAAGAACAGTTAGCAAGAAGCCTGCCATGGCCACACAGTTTGTAAGCAATATAAGTCTCTGTGTTTACTTGGTTGGGTCTGAGCAGCTGTGGGACTGGCGGGGGACAGAGATTTGTCCTGACTGTGGGCCAGGCAGGAAAACTCTAGCTACATCCTTCCCTCCTCTGTACTAAAAAACAAAACAAAACAAAAACAAACAAACACACAAAACCTGCCTCACTGTGCACAAGTTGATCTATCACATCCTGGTCAACCAACTGTAGATTCTGAAACTATGCAGAGCTTAAGATTTCTTACTGGCAAACCAGTATTCTTTAGGTGAACAGTGTTGCAGTCCATGGATCTTGTCTGCATCCAAGACTAAAGCATCTCTGCAAGGCATCACTGTATTTTGTTCCTTTGAAAAATGTTTCCAAAGCCGTATTCAGTCCAAAGGTAAATAAAGGAGACCATGAGCACATTTTAAGCCTTCTCTTGGTGAACAACTTTTACTAATGATGGCAACAAAATTATTGAAGCCTGTAATAAGCCATCCAGTGCTTGCATAGGTCACCTATGACCACTATTAAGATTTAAATATCCCCTAAAATTAAACACTTTGGGGTTATTAATGTTTCCTTTCCTCTCAAAATTTTTGTGTTGAGAGGAGGTATGGGAGGAAATGTGTTAGCAACAGTAGGATGTGGAGGATAGCTCTAAGTACATTAAACATCTGTTGATGGAGCCATTAGCACAGTTTGTAGCGACTGCCACCTGGCCCTTATTCCACTTTGTTCCAATTTTAGTATCTGAAAATACACTGTAGCAATCATGTAACACTTCTTTTAAATCTTTTACTACTGCATTAAGTGAAGCCTAAGTACCAATCAGTTCTCACTGAGATGAAAAAAAAAAAATATCTGCTTACAGCCAAAATCAAATGCCAATAAGAAAGTAGCAAGGGTCAAACATCACTTAGCATTTCAGGCTGGCCATGTTAGTATCTACCTGAAAGGAAGTCCTTAACAGAGCAAATGGAGGCAAAGGTGAGAGAGACTTTCCGCCATCAGTCTATAGGTTGCTTTCAAGCACAGCATTAGACTTATCGGGGACAGAGAGCTAAAAGTCTCTCAAAGGAAAAAAAAAAAAAGCCTCCATTTCACTGAGTGCTCAGCCTAAATTAGTTGCTCTTTCCTGGAAAAGGCACAAGAACCAATGTTCTTCCTGAGTCTCATTAGACTCCCACAGCCCTGCTCCAGACAGTATTTATTGTTGCCCTGATTTACAGTCTACACATCCATCGTCCTCAATAAACCAGGGTCCTAAAGCTGCAGAAACACTGTTCGGATCCTGAGAGAAACCAAGCTTCTTTGTTTGCTGGCACCTGGGCTCCTTTCACATGACCATTTTTTCCTTATAAAATAAACCCTATTGAAGGGGTTCCCCACATTCAGCAAGGTGCTCTAAAGGATCTGCAAAATCAGAAATTCACTTTTTCCAGATCTCCCTGTCAGTGTCCCCATTTCCAGCTTATTCATCAGCGATTGGGGGCCCCGGTCTAGCAATGTTTATGAAGTGGACTGATGGAGTCACTGATGCAGTTGTTTTCAGTGAAGCTGTCCTAGGTTCTTCCTTTCCTATGCTAAGTCCTGCAGCTACTTCTCCAGTACCACATGCTATATATCTGCAGTGTTCCTAGAAATTGAAAAATGGAGAAAACAGTGTCTGTCTGTCTGTTCCTTAGACCTTGTTACACATCTGTCCTTACTTTAGGACAAAGATGTGCCTTTGACCAAGGGTTGATGTAGTTGATCAGTTCTCCAGTCCTATGCAAGACACAGACATCTATTTCCCTTCTTACTAAAGACTGATGGTGTGAGGACATTAATGTCCTCAGTGGTCTTTGGCAATTTGATCTGCTTGCTTTCATTTAATTTCAACTGGCTACTTTGTCTTGAGTTTCTTTCTTTGTAAAATAAGGAAAATAAATGCTTTACATACCTACTTCATGAACTGTAAGTATAAAATAAAAACAAAATGTATTTCGATACCTGGAGAGAAACGATAGTGAATGACCAGGCATGGTGATTTGCTCCTCCAATCCTAGCACTCAGGAGGTGTGGGGGGTGGCGGGGGTGGGGGGGTGGCAGTAGGACAGCCAAGAGTCCTAATCAAGCCGGTTACTATAAAATGACCCCCTGTATCTATCTGCAACAAAGACACCAAATGAGGACATTGTCTACCTCCTTTTCTCTTCTCCTCCTCCCTCAGGACCGCTGTCTGCCTCTCTGCCCCACCTCTACACTCCAGGCTCCCAGTTGCTCTCCCGAATGGTCCTTCTCATGTACTCCACTGACCCTCACAGATGCTCTTGGAGTTCTCCATCAGCTTCCTAAATACTCCTCTAGGGTCCCCAGATGGGAGCTCTTTCTCACAATTTCACTAATAACTGGACCCATCCTCTTTAGAGTTCTCCCAGGCCACACAAGTTAAGGTAGCTCCTCCTTCCACCCACATTATCCCCCCCCCCTCTTGGTTTTATTTATTTTAGAAATTAGATCTCTCAGAAATTATTCATCATCTGTTCTCACATTTAGAGTCTGCCTCCTCCAACCCCTCTTTGAACAAGGCCTTTTTTGTTTGCTGTCATAACTCTTGCATGGCATGTGTGTGTGGGGGGGTGGTGGTGGTGGTCTTGTTTTATGGTAGGTGCTCCATGGGTATCTGAATTGAATTGTTTCCTTTACTTAGTGACTTAGAAAGCAAGCAATCCTAGAGCATCTTTAGGGGCTGTCTGTGTATGTACTGAGGATGTAATCTGATAAAATATGGCTCCATGTTCAGGGTACTCAGATGAGGAGAAGCACGGAGAGAAACTTCAAGTGCTTTCCTTGCTGAAAAGGGGCTAGTGGTCATTCCCACTGGAATATATTTTCATTTTTTTTCTGCTATCTTCAAGATATTTTCACTGTCCCCTTTTTCTGCTACCTTCAAGATAAATGAAACTTTATCAATTTTGATCTTTCTCAATA